GCCCACCAGGCTGGTCAGAGAAAAAGGGATGGAGGCTTCAACCAAAAATCCCTCACCAACTGAACATGTTTACTGAGCTTTGAGCACGGGCTCACACCGGGTGAGATGATAGTGGGTTTTTTCTAAGGGAGGTTACTGAGTGAGAGCCTGGCCTGGCCATTCACCGCCTCAAGAATCTTACTCTCTGTAGCTTGTCTCAGAAGCTTCTGCTCTCTTTTTTCCTGACCACTTCAGTTGTCCGTCATTAGGGAGTGATTACCTGGATTATGGAAGGCCCTGGCCAGGGAGCTGGGTTGGTGAGAAGGTCATCCTGATTCAGCCATGTTGCCGGTTCAATACCCAGTCAAGGGACATACAAGAATCAACCAATGAATCATAAATAAGTGGAACAACAAATCAGTGTTTCTCTCTCTACCTTCCTCTCTCTCTCTAATATAAAAAAATTTAAAAATGTATGGAAGATTCTGCAATTATATGTAGTGATGTAGGTCCTCAAGTCCCCAAAACTTCAGTGATAGGCGTTTTCCACTTTTTGGCCTGCTGACATCCAATCCATATATATAAATACATATTTTATTGATTTTTTACAGAGAGGAAGGGAGAGGGATAGAGAGCCAGAAACATTGATCAGCTGCCTCCTGCACGCCCTCCATTGGGGATGTGCCCGCACAACCAAGGTACATGCCCTTGACTGGAATCGAACCCGGGACCCTTGAGTCTGCAGGCCAACGCTCTACCCACTGAGCCAAACTGGTTCTGGCGCAATCCTCTTTCCCAATGGTATCCCCTTTCTCCAGTGAGCTGTCCCTCATCGTGTACATCTGTGGGAGTGGAGTACCACAAGCTTGCCCACCACGCATAACGTGAAAGGGTTCTGGGAGACCTGTTCCAGGCCTCTCACCTGCCCAGTGGGAGGGGCCTGGGACCGTAAACTTATCTTCCTTGGTTTTGAATCTTGAGCAGTGGTGACGGAAGAAATGTAGGTTGCGGCAAGCCTTTTAAGGATTTCCACCTACTGAGTGAAACCTCCTGGAATTTCCTTGTTCCTGTGCTGCTCAAACCTGGTGTTTTTTTCAAACTTCCCTTCAATCCTTACCCTTCCTATAAAACTCCTTATGCTAGTTAACCAGATCAGTTTCTGTTGCTTGCCATCACAGAATCCTGACTATAGCATTCTAAGACATTTGGAAAATGTCTGTATTGGATTGTATTTGAAACAGCAAGATACAGAATAGGGTGTAAGAGCATGGTCCTGGTTGTTTTTGTTTTTTGGCTAAAGATGTATTTGTATGCAACAATTTTGGAAGGATATACAAAAAAGTGTAGATGGGTATTATTTTTGGGAAATGGGAGTGGGGCCTGGAATGGGAGCAAGGCTTACATTTTGTGGTATGCCCTTTGCTTATCACATATTTATTAGCTTAATGAAAGCTCTCTCGGTCATTAGCCACCTGTGATTTGTCTGTTTCAGAAACTCCTCGACTGTATGTTTTTTAAGACTCCTTTCAGGACCAACATTTTGTGGTTCCCTGAATTAACCCCAGGGTCCCTTTGCTAACAAATCCCACAATAAGTTATGTCAGTATTCTCTGCACTTTGGGGTTATTTGTAGTCCTACTCTTTTCACTTAGATAATGAAGCAGTGCCTTCTCCGAAGGGCAAACCCACCACACCCCCCACACCGGAAAGAGGGTCCGCCTGCAGTTTCTTGTCTGCCCCACACCTCCTTCCTGGATTACGGCCCTTCTAGCAGCCCGCGTCCTTCGTTTCAGGCTTTCCTTGTTGCTTCCTCAGAGGGACGAGGGTTACCAGGAAGCATGCGGCAAAGAGATTACAGCAGGTCCTGGAATAACGTCGCTACATGACAGCGCTGATGAGATGCCACAGGAACATGACTTGTTTATATCAATTGGCTTGCTGTAAAATTGGTTTCCTTGTCGCCGTTTCACCGCAGTTTCGAGAACCTATTAATGACCTTAAGTGAGAACTCACTGTAGTGTGAGAGCAGCCAGATGAGCCTGGAGTTGGGGAAGACAACATGGACAGCAGCTTTTGATCTTGAAAAACAAACGTAAGGGAGCAAAAGTGGGAAGGAAAAGGGAGCGAACAGGTGAGGGGCAGCCGCTTTTCGCGGGTTAAGGACAGACACAGAAAGCTAGGGTAGGAAGGAGACAGTGTGCAGAAGGTAAAACCAAACCAAACCGGAAACCCAAACCTCTTCTCAATTATCCCAGGGATAATGGAACATTAGCTTTTTCTACCTTCCACACGTCTTCAATAACATCATTTTACACCAAGGAATGGAGGCAGCTTCATTTCCGGACGAGTCTTCCTAGTTTATGGTGGAGGCAGCTGAGTCCGTGTGAGATGAAGCGCTGGCACCTGCTTCCAGATGCTGCTGCGCCCCCCCCCCCCCCCCCCCCCCCGCACGGCTCTTCTTGACCTTCACAGAAATTAGATTTCCCAGGAGGGTCGTCCTGCCTTTGCAGCTGCTGCCAGAGGCCAGGCTACAGCACCTGTGTGCGAGGGATACAGAGAGGTTTCTCATAAAGGCCTTTCCCCTGCAGCAATGCAGACGCAGGCTGTTCCCGTAAGAATCTACTTTATACGACAAACGCGCCTCCAGCATTTGTGTGCATGCTGGGACAGATTTCTCCACATGCTAACACTATAATTACAAACGTCCTTTACCTTCATCCCTGCAGAAAGTCTATATATTTGCTCTCAAACATCACTCAGGAAACTGCACTAAGAGCCAGGGCATGGAAATCCGGTTTGCCGCTCTCTACCAAGTGGCAGTCCTGGAGAGTTGCAGCTCCAGTTTCTTTTCTCTGGAACTCCATCCGGCCGGTTCCCAAATGTACCTAGTTATTTGCTTGTTTTCTCTCTAGATTTGGAGCTCCTAGAGAACAGAAATCAGCCTCAGTTACACACGCCCCCGTGTCTAGCCCCGTGCCCGTAAACTGCTCCAAAGCTTGGCGGTTACTGCTCTCCACCTTCAGCTGGGTCCCCAGGAGCCCTACCTGTCTCGGGAGTTAGTCCCACAGACAGCATAGCTAGTCCTGCTTGAGCGATGCTATTTCAGTGATTCCCCAGATGGTGGGGGTTTTGTGTCTTTTCCCTTCCCTCTGTCCCCAAGAATCCACTGGCTACTTCCTCACATCAGGGAGAACTAGGGTCCCTCCTGAAACAAGGCCTCCCACCTCCCACAGCCAGGGCTGAGGGCTTCCCCCTTCTCAGAGAAGATGCCTGGTTCTTTCCTCTGGGCCTGCCCCTGGGGACAGACACTGATCCTAACTAAGCAGTCAGATGGTCCCTCCTTCTAACTCGTCACCCAGGGGGCATCCCCATTGCAAAGGGCCCAAGGGGGACAAGAGCATCAGGATGGACACACATTTGTCCTTAGTAAGGAGAGAAGCTTGACATCAGGGCAACACTGCAAAAATAAAAATAATTAGGGAATCCATCCACTGATGTGACGATTCAAGCAGTAAGTATCCTAATTTCTGTTAGTTATATGACAACTTCCTATTTACATGTTGGTTGTTGCTGAATGTTGTGTTCACGACTGCTACTGCTTTAAGGGCAGGGGAAGCAATGAAACCACAAGTAAGAGTGTGAGTATAAATTTTAGGCCCCAAAGAGAAATTTAAGGAGTCCTATACTGTCATCCCTAGAGATATATTTCGCCCTCTGGTGGTTCCCCTAACAATTTGGGTAGAGTCACACTCGTGAGGACAGAAACGCAGAAGGGCCTCATGGGACTAACTTTACAGATAAGGTTACATGGGTATTTCTTACCATTTTGGTCAAAGGTGTGACTCCAAAGAGAAACATGTTAATTCTGAAATAAATTTAAAAATGTATTTATTTATTTATACTTTAAAAAAATTGATGAGAGAGAGAGAGAGAGAGAGAGATTGATGTGAGAAACATTGGTTGTCTCCCACATGCGTCCTGACCAACCAGAGATAGAACCCACAACTTGGGTATGCGCTCTGACTGGGAATTGAACCCAAAACCTTTCGGTATATGGTATGATGCTCCAACCAACTGATCCACACTGGCAAGGGCTAAATTTTTATTTATTGGTTTTAGAGAGAGAGATTTGTTGTTCCACCTATGAGGCACTCACTGGTTGGTTCTTTAATGTGCCCTGACGGGGGATTGAAAACACAACCTTGGCGTATCGGGACAATGCTCTAACCAACTGAGCTACCCAGGTAGCGCTGGAACAAGTCTTATATGAAATAGTTTTCTTACGGTCAGGACACATGCCTGGGTTTCGGGCTCGGTCCCCAGTGGGGAGCGTGCAGGTGGCAGCTCACCAATGATTCTCTCTCATCACTGATGTTTCTATCTCTCCTTCTCCCTTCCTCAATAAAAATACATTAAATAAAAAAATTAAAAAAGAATTTGTTGACTTTTAGAGAGGAAGGGAGAAAAGAGAAACATCAATGTGAGAGTGTAACATCGATTGGCTGCCTCCTGCATGTACCCTACTGGGGACTGAGCCCACAGTCTGGGCAGGTGCCCTGACCAGGAATCAAACCAGCGACCTCTCGGTGCACGGGATGGTGCCCAGCCGAGCCACACCGGCCAGGGCTCTGCTTTTGTTCTTTATCCCCTTACTTCCTTGTCCTTGAAGAAACAAAATAAATATAAGAATATATGGAAGGAAACTTCCTACAGATTGAGGCTCACTTATCTAACTTTTCAAATGACCCTGTTTTTCCTTCGCCAGTTAAGGAAGGATCCGTGTGACAGGAGCGGGGATGGAGGCCAGAGAAGTACATGAGTAAACTTTCCCCACGACCAACTTGGTTTAATTTGTAACCGTTTGGAAAGGCCGATCAGTTAAAACCCTACCTTCTCACTGCCCGGGCTACTTTTCGGCAATGGCAAGTTTATTTCAACAGAACTCCCACTGAACACTTACTTACCCTTCTTCTGGGAAAAGCAGCCTTTCCTACTTGCAAATCAAGACAATCACAGTTGCACATTTTCCCAAATCTTTGGCTGTATTGCAATGGTTGTTTCATTTTGTAATCTCCAACTAAACATTTCCTAACCATGGATTAACAATATAGTTACTGACTGGTTTCTTTTAACAGTATTTATCCAACATAACAAAATAAACTGCAATTTGTTATACTTTTTTACAAAACATTTTATAAATATTTTTACAAAATGTATACAAAGCAATTTCAAGTGAGACATACTATACAAATGAAGGTATTTAAGCAAATAAAGCCCACACCACACTGACAGTGAGTGACGCGTCCTCTTTAAGTCAAGTCAGTCTGTAAGGCCTCCCTAATCTAACAAAGTCTACTAAATTCTTCAGAGCTAAAATAGTTCTTTTTTTCGTAATTGCCGGTTTAAAATTTGCTTTATCTTTAGGCAGTACTTAAGGACACAGAAAATCAAATGCTTAATAACAAATTCACACTTTTCCACAACAACAGAAAAAAAAAGAGAGAGAAAGAAATGATTTTTGTTACTGAGTACAAGTAGTTCTAAAACTTAGACGATGAACCTGAACGACTGAGGTTGGCCATCTGAGGCTGAGCTCTCTTACCCTTCACCAGAGGGCTCGGCATGCGGGTTATGACCTATGTGCGCATAACCTAATCACAGGAGTAAAACACATCTCGTAATCTTCATTTGTCATTATCTAGAATCTTCCCTCCATAAAAAGTAAACTTACATACAAGGACACAGAAATTTACAAGTTTCATTTTGGTAAATTAGGCTCTCCATTTGCTAGACAAGTGTTAGGGCTTAAAAACCCTTGAAGGTGGTATATAGAAAAGCTAGGGTTTGGGTAGCAGGGCAGGATGGGGAAGAGGTGCAACAAATGTACACAGAGCTTATCTTGTCTCTTTAAGAATTCCACTGATTCGCAGTAATTAATGTAACTCATTAGCAGCCTTCGCAAAGGCTTCCAGGGATAAAGTTCCACAATGAGGAGAATTTGATCAGGAGGAACCATCTTTAAGTCTTGCTAGGAATTAGGGGAGCATGAGCCGTAAAGGAAGAAGAGCCTGTGAAACCTTGGGGTTCAGGGCCGGGTGCCACCCCAGGGCTGCCCAAACAGAAAGTTCCGACTGGCAACAGCAACTTCTCTTCCTAATATGTTACAATAAAGGAAAAGGGGGATATGCAGCGTGGACATTGGCACAGGCAAGGAAAACATGGCAGCCCTCAGATGGCCCACATTTTCCGGTTTCCATTGGCGGGGGTGGGCGTGGGGAGGAGGTGCTCTGCTTTTATGAAGACTGGCTGTCGCGCAGGGTTTCTCTGGTGGGACAAAGGGGCAGGGAGTTATCTTCTGTTGCTGTGTTTTCTAGCAATCAGAAGCCTTCCTTTCCATCACAGGCCAATCTGGAAAAGACATGTCCAACATGATGACAATGGGAGTCACCCGCATTCTGCGGACAGCCAGAAGCAGGCCCTGGCAATGTGTCAGGCTGGACACCATGGGCACACCTCTGAAGCCATAGAGACAACCAGAATAACCGAGAGAGTGCATACACCGAAGGGGAGCGTGTGTACACACTGTCAGCACGACGACCTGGGGACCCGAGCACTCAGGCACATTCACGCCTGTGTGACAGTGCACAGCAAATACCATGATGTAGCTTTCCCAGGGACGGGACCTAACTGATGTTACCATGACACCAGAGTGACAGTAACCACAGAAATGGGGTGACCTGGGCAGGCACAAAAGAAAGGAAATGGGGAAAGCTCCCTGAAAAGAAATATAAATAAATAAAGCAAGGTCACGTCCACTAATATGAACATAGGCCGAACACAAGCCATGACAGGGCACGTCCTTTGGCTCTTGCGTGGGACTCCCGCGTCCCAGATCTCCTCGTTCCGTGGTGGGCTGGCTGGCTACCTTTGGTTTGTCTGTGTTTTGGTAATGACTGCTGCCAGGGGTGACTACTGTTCTCAGACAACAAGCAGCATAAACAAGGCCAAAGTCCCCTTAAGGTTTAAACAGAAAAATTACAACATAGTTTTCAAATGAAAGTGCTTTTGACGCTTGGCTGTTTGTTGTGGGAGAGGGTGCAAAGAGAGGTTAAAGGAAACAAAACCCAGCAACAAACAAAAAGGTACATCCTATGTTGGCTCTATCCAATCATAAAATGCAAAACGCCTGTTTTTCTCACAGTTAACATATATGTGCTTTTACATGTATACAGGTTTATGCCTCCGGCTGCGCCCCGGCCCCACCCCGCGCTGTGCCACCTCACGGTTCTGTCCCCGTTGCCTAGCCCGAGGCTCCGAGTCACGCTGCAGCACTAGGAACGGGGCAGGCCTGGGCGCCCCCCTCGGAAGTGCTGGGAAGGCCCGCGGCCGAGCTCAAGGAGCCTCGGGAAAGCACGGAACACGAACAGGGACGCCCTGCACATGCCCGCACCCTCCCACCGGCTGCTGCCCCTGGGCCACCCCAGGGCCGAGGGGTCCCCCGCAGCGGCCAGCAGCCACTGCTGAGGCGGCGAGGGGAGAGCCATGTGGTCTCCCCTCCAGCAACAGCAACAAAACCAAAAAGCCAACATTTGGAGATACAGCGGGGGATGCTTTAAAAAGTAGCTTCTATCAGTCCTGTTTGATTTTCTTTAATAAGTCTGTTCTTTTCAAATGACTTATGATTGTCAGGATTTTTCTTTTTACCCAGGGCCAAGGGTCCTATGATCGCATTGAGTTACACAGTATTTTTAAGAAAATAAAACAAGTAAACAAAAAACTGACTAAAAGCGCGTTCAGAACACTTGCAATGTGTAGGCCTATCAGACTGCTTTCTAACAAGGACTGTTCCCTGGCGGACCTCCCCGGGCCCACGGCGAGTATTGCTCTTGAGGAAGAACAGGGTGAGAGCAGGAGGGGTGATGGGCCGCGCGGGCTGGAGCCAGGGCCGTCCGTTCGCTTTTGCGGGAGAGACTGGAGCTGGCGGGCGGGCGGGAGCTGCGATTAACACTCTAGGATGCTATTTACAGCGGCTTCTAAAATGGAGTCCGTTTCCACGGCGCCTTCGCTGTGGTCCGGGGCGAACTTCTCCAGGCAGCTGTCCTGCGAGGCGGCGGGGGAGAAGCCGGGGAAGTCCAGCTCCGCGCCGCCCCGGGCGGGGTCGCGGGGGGCCTGCCGCCCCGCCTTCTTGAGCTCCAGGAGGTTCTTGAACGTGGTCGCCAGGCTCCTGGTGAGCTGGAGGTCCGGCTGCGGCTCGCCCGACCCCTTCATGATGTCTGTGTGTAAAACGTCGCTCTGGGGCGAATTCCTGCGAGTTTTGTCCTGGAAGGAATTGCTACACGTCATCTCCAAGCGAGAGTCGCCGAGGATGCTCGAGAGCTTGCTCTCGGGACCGGGATCGGGTCTGGCCGCGGTTCTCCGGGGCCCCTCGGGACCGGGGGCGCCCTCGCTGCCCGGGGCGGGGTCCCTGCGGCCGGCCTTGCCCTCCGCCGCCCGCGGCTGCCCCGCGCGGTCCCCCGGCAGCGCCGGCCCAGGCACTCCGTCTCCTTAGAAATGTTTCCTTCCGCGGAGACCACGATGTGATTAGGCACTGGGTGGAGGGGTCGGGGTTCGCGGGCTCCGCCCCGCCGGCTTTGGCTCGGTCCCTGCTCGCGGCCTTGGTCGGAGGGAGCGAGCTGGTGGTCCGGCCGCACGGCGGCTCGCAGGCAGCGGCGTCGGGTTTGAAGGAGCAACAGAAGTCAGCTTGAAAGCCCTCTGGAAACGGAGCGGAAAGAACATGAATGAACGGAGGAGCGAGGGCCGCACCCCAGACCCAGGCGGGGGTCGGCCCGCCCGCCCCACGGAGTTGGCCTGTGTCCCAGGAGATGCCCAAGCTCAACACCCGGGCCCCGGGCTGCCGGCCTCCCGCAGGAGCCAGACAGACCTCCTTGCAGAGGCAGCTGCTGGACGGCAGAGGGAACCCGACGGGCAGCGGGCAGCGCTCCGCTTCGCCCCGCTCTCCCGTCAGTCTGTCACAGGGACTGCTCTGAAACAAATGAGATGCAGTGCCAGCCGGTTTCTTCCCCGCAGCAGCGAGCTCCAGGAGGCGGCTCGAGCAGGGGTGGGTGTGAGGGACTGTGTGCCTTGGGTGATGGCACGTCAGGCTAAGACACACGTGGGGACCTGGAATAACCAGCTGCACTCTGCCAGGTAGACATGCGTCCTGTCCAGGAAAAGAATTATCTTGTTTTCAGTAATCTTTCTTTTTTTTCCATGCAGCCTTTTATATTATCCTTCTATTGGTGCTTACCTTCTAGTTAAAACTGGTTAGCACAAGCCATCATTGGTCCAGCACCAGCATTATATGATTGTACTAGTATTTTCAAATGCTGTGATGAAATTGCCATCTTACTGCCCTGGCTGGTTTTGCTCAGTGGATAGAGCATGGGCCTGCAGACTGAAGGGTCATGGGTTCGATTCCCTGCCCTGGTTGGGGTATTCGGGAGGCAACCAATTGATGTCTCTCTCTCACATCAATGTTTCTCTCTCTCTCCCTCCATTCCACTCTCTCTAAAAAAATCAATGGAAAAATATCCTCAGGTGAGGATTAACAAAACAAACAAAAAATCTGCCATCTTACTAATGGAAAAACCAATGTGATGAGGATGGAAAGACACAGATAGTAATTTGAAGGTAAAATAGGACCGTTGTGCAAAGCACCAAGTTTGCCTGCTCCCTGGAGAACGGTGCGCATGGAAGGTATTGGGCGTCAGTCAGGCAGCAGCTGATGACAGGCTTTTGTGGTGCAGAGACTTGTGTAACAAACATCTCCCCATGCCTCGTAACCGCATAAAACATAGAATCCATATCTTGAGGATTAAAAATGGCGGCAGAGTAAGTGGATGCTACATGGACATGCTCCCAGGAATGAACTAGAATTACATCTAAAATACAGAAAAACTTCCTGAATAATCAACGGAAAACTCGAAGGAGAGAACCCTGATACCCGACGGCCGCTTTCTACCCACGTGACTTACCAGGGTCCACAAGTGCCAGCCGCTTGTCCCAGGACAGAGACGCCCTCTCCTCCTGGTTGGACATTCTGTCGATCATCACCATCTCAGCCGAGGGATTAATCCGCTGAAAAGGAGAGAGTCCAGTCATCCCAGGTGCCCTTTAACAAGCGCAAGCATCTCCCTGCATCTTTGGGACGGAAGCAGTCAGAAATGAGAGTTTAATGTCTAAGTTCCAGGTGTCCCATTCAGTCAAATTTTTCCTTGCCACATAGGATGCATTTTTTTTTAAAAAAAAATCTGTTTTTTTGTTCTTATTTTTTAATTGATTTCAGAGAAGGGAGAGGGAGAGATAGAAACTTCAATGATGAGATATAATCATTGATCGACTGCCTCCTGCATGCCCCACACTGGGAATCGAGCCACACCTGGGCAAGAGCCCTGACTGTGAATCGAACTGTGCCTTTCTGGTTCATAGGTCGATGCTCAACCACTGAGCCACACTGGCCAGGCTAGGATGCATTTATTTTATTTTTTTATTATTTTTTAAATTTTTTATTGATTTTTTTACAGAGAGGAAGGGAGAGGGATAGAAAGTTAGAAACATCAATGAGAGAGAAACATCGATCAGCTGCCTCCTACACACCCCCTACTGGGGATGTGCCTGCAACCAAGGTATATGCTCTTGACCGGAATCAAACCTGGGACCCTTGAGTCCGCAGGCCGACGCTCTATCCACTGAGCCAAACCGGTCAGGGCAGGATGCATTTTTTTTTAATTGTATTTTTACCGAAATGAGGTGAGTACTCCCGGGGCAATGATGGACATATCATCTTATCTTTTTATCTCTGTTTTTCTCTGTTTCTCTCTCTCTCTCGTTGAATTTATTGGGGAGACACCAGTTAATAAAATCATACAGGTTTGAAAATAAAATAAAAAATGTATAAATAAATAAAATAGTATTTTGGGGGGAAAGGTAATCTACACATTGGTACTAAGGGGGATGTGAAAAGTAAACCCTTCTTCTTCGCCTCCCCCTGTGCCCTTCCCACCCCCAGTGTCTCTCCCTGGAGGCACCCCATGCCTAGCAGTTTAATATACTCTTCCAGAGACAGATCATGCACATACTCACATTATGTTCTCTTTTTTTTTTATATTTTGCACACAAATGGTAGCAATAATACATGCTGTTTTGTACCTTTCTTATTCCCCTTCTGCTAACATGTTGGAAATCTTTTCCTTAGAATGATCTTTTAACTTTGCACTCTGCTATGCTTAAATTTGTCATTTTTTTAGGGCTTTCCTTAAAATTAGTTTGTGCCATACAGAATCAAATCTGAAGTTACATTTCTGGGTCTTATTTAACATGAAAACTCATGGCAGATACAATTTGACCAAACAAGTGGTCCTTTCCTCAATAATGATAGTCTTTTTGACATCTCACAATTTTGTTTTAGAAATGGTTATCAATATAAGAACACTTATTTCAGCCCTAGCCGGTTTGGCTCAGTGGATAGAGCATTGGCCTGTGGACTAAAGGGTCCTGGGTTCAATTCCAGTCAAGGGCAGGTACCTCAGTTGCAGGCTCCACCCTGACCTGGGCCCTGGTCAGGGTGCGTGCAGGAGGCAACCAATCAATGTTTCTCTCTGTCTTTCCCTCTCTCATCCACTCTCTCTAAAAATCAATGGAAAAATATCCTCTGCTGAGGATTAACAACAGCAACAACAAAAAGAACAACTATTTCAGGTTTTGGAGGCATACTTTTAAGTAAAAGTATATTAGAAATGCACATACACACACACGCACGCACGCGCACACACACACATCTAATAAAAGCCTAAGCGACCATGAGGGTGGAACAACCAGAACGACTGGTCGCTATGATGCACACTGACCACAGTGGTCAGTGAGCTCCCAAAGGGGGAGCGCTGCTCAGCCAGAAGCCAGGCTCACGGCTGGCGAGTGCAGCAGCGGTGGCGGGAGCCTCTCCCATTTCCGCAGCAGTGCTAAGGAGCAGTGAGCAGGCGGGTGGTAAGGAGCGAGGGGTCCCGGACTGCAAGAGGGCGCAGGCCGGGCTAAGGGACCTCTCTCCGCTTCCAGTGCACAAATTTCGTGCACCGAGTCTCTAGTACATATATAAGCACAAACATATCTACATATTTACAGAATATTGTGTACATGTATAATGTAGTTCAATTAATCCTCCACAGAACATTTCCAAAGTTGATCTCAAACTGAAAACCACTGAAAGAGACCAATTTATAGGTAAACGCCCACATGTTTTTAGAACTGCTAAAATCTCAGACTAGGTTTGGTCTTTCCATCATTCCCTGAGACACCTTACTCCTTTCTCTAACTGGTGCTTTAAAGGCAAGGCTAGTTCCTATTTGAGGTGTTGAAAATGTTCTGCAATTAGACAGTGGTGATGGCTGCACAATTTTGTGAATATGCTAAAAACCATCAGGTTGTACATTTGAAAATTAAGCGTGAATTTTATGACAGGCTAACAATCAAATAAAAACAAGACAAAACTAATTGTAACACCTGTCATCACCTCGTCTGTCCAGCTGCTGCTGTGAACCTTCACTGGCAGTGCCCCAGGCCTCCCCCCTCTGGGCTGGGGAGGGGCAGCACACAGCATCGGAGTGGGCCAGGTGTCGGGGCTGGGCTGCATCGGGCTCTGCTCATTGCCCGACAGACTCACTAGCTGTGATCCTGGGTGAACTACTTAACCAGAGCCTAGGTCCCTCATTTGGGACAGTCACAGGAGCACTGACGGTGAGCAACTGGTCCGCGCAATAGGTACCACCTGCTGCTGGTGGTATAACGGTCAAGTGTGAGGTTTTCTGCAAACTTAAATATCTGTGCCTTTTAAACTGCTGGGGAAACGTAATTCCTGAAGTTTTTCTCTCTGAACCAGTAGCTGTGACCTGCAGGATTTAAGAACCAAATGTGCTTGCAGCAGCGTTTACCATGGCATCCTCCAGGAGCAGGCATCTGTACTTGTGAAGCATAGCTTGGGTCCTTTTTAGGAGCTGAGTGGCAACTGTTTCAAATTCATTGTCGACTGTAAGAAGAGAGAGAGAAATAGTAAGAGAGTGCCAATCACCCATAGGTCTTCAGTTCAGGACTGAAATGCATTATTCTTCCCCTGTTCAAACAGGTCCTGTCTGTGGCCATTTTCTCTTCTCAGGTCAGCTTTTCCGTGACTGAGCATCGTGCTTCTGCACTGCCTTCCCTCACTGTCCACCGGTCTGTGATTGTGGAGACTGAGTTCAATACTAGCTTCTATTAATTTTAACTAAGAATCCACAAACAGCCCTCACCGGTTTGGCTCAGAAAGAGAGTCGGCCTGCAGACCGGAGGGTCCTGGGTTCGATTCCGGTCAAGGGCACGTACCTTGGCTGCAGGCTCCTCCCCAGCCTGGGCCCAGGTCAGGGCATGTGCAGGAGGCAACCAATCGATGTGCTTCTCTCACATCGATATTTCTCTCTGTCCTTCCCTCTCTCTGGAAAAATACCCTCAGGTGAGGATTAAAAAAAAAAGGAATCCAAAAACATAGTATTTTTAACATCACCTATAAAAGAAAATAATATCACACAGACCAGCAACAAATATCAAGCCTCCCTCCCTGCCAATCATATAAAAAAGTTAACAGCTGGGACAATGAAGTCCTACTGTCTGGACTGGGGAGACAGTGTTATCTAAAGACAAACTAGCTCATGGTCCCTTGCAGGCCATGGTGCTGTGGCTCTGTCCTTGTTGGTTGGTCGCCAAGGTCTCACATTTCTACTTCACTCTTAGAGTCTTCACGCCCCTGCCCAATGTTGGACCGGGGCCTCCCCGGGAAGCTCACATGGACTGACCGAGACCAGGACGCTCAGCTCAGAGACCCCTGGTGCCACAGTGGCCTGTGGGGTTATGGCCGGTTCACCTTTCCTGCGGGAGCGAGCCTGGCAGCTGAAGAGGATGCGAGCAGTGGGGGAACTCTGGAGGCAGCCTGGGCATGGTGGTGGGAGGGAGGCAGAACTAGGCGAGCTGCACCGCTGGGGAGGCAGCGGGTCAGGAGGGAGACCGGGCTGAGTTCCAGGTTGGGACAAGGAACTTATCCTTAGCCCCTTTTTGCCAGTTTCTTGACAAACAGCAATGCCCTGGACTCACTTTGGAACCTGTAAGAATGTCTGGGGCTGAAGGATTGATGCAACTCATAGAACTGGTAGTGGGAGCTAAGGGTGTGCACTCGCCTAAACAGGAGGACTCCGCCTGAGGCCCTGGGCAGAGCCGTCCCCTCTGCAGCCAGCAGCCCAAACAATGCTGTGCCTTTACCGCCCCCAAGATGTGTCCATAAAAGCCTCTGGCACGTGGGTATCCCTTCCCAGAACACTGAGAAGAATAAGCCACGACCCTAAACGCAGACTGGGAAACAGTAAATAAACTGTGATAAAAACAATAGCTGGCTACCATCTGGGGGCATCCCCAGAGGGCGCTGAGGGGTCAGGGCGGCTTACCCTTCCTCAAGTCCTCCTCGGTGGGCATGGAGCCCTGGCACACGTGGTGAGAGAGCAGCCTCTGCACCGCGTCACCGAGAGACCGGAACTGACTTTTATCGGGCGTCACGGCGTGGGCTTGGTCCCTCTGCAGCTGCTGGAGGATGCTGCAAGAGAGAAACTGCACGTCGATGCAGAGTCACGGGAAGAAACGGAACCCCTCCCTGAGAGAGAAGGAACGGGATCCTTTGCATGCAGAGAGAGTAAGACATACAGGAATGTTACTGTTCAAAGTATAGCACGTCTGGTTTTCCTACAGTTTCACACTTTGTACACCAGGGTGGTTCAGAGTTCGGTGTAACCACCCACAGGGAAGGCACACTCTGGCCCTGGCCTCGGAAGCTCAGTGTTCCTACCAACCACGCACGCGTGGGGCTCACCCAGACCGGCAACGCCTGAGCAACGGCCAACCACGCTTATGCGAACATTTCTGTTCTGAACATAGGAGTTTATCAAACCATGCTCCCCTCAGAGACGCCTGGCCAGCCACAGGGCACGTGGTATACTGAGACGGCAAAGGCTGCTTCTCCTTAAGAACGAAAGAGCATCCCTAGCCAGTTTGGCTCAGAGCGGTTGGCCTGTGAACTGAAGGGTCCTGGGTTCGATTCCAATCAAGGGCACATGCCCAGGTTACGGGCTCAACCCCCAGTAGGGGGCGTGCAGGAAGCAGCTGATCAATGATTATCTCTCATCATTGATGTTTCTCTCTCTCTCTCTCTCTCTCTCTCTCTCTCTCTCTCTCTTTCCCCCTTCCTCCCTGAAATCAATAAAAATATATTTAAAAAAAAGAATAAGAGAGCAGACAGTAACCTCAAACTACATTTGAGATATTTATAGGTCCTAACGGAAACAAATTGTAGGAATGGGTTTTCAAAGTATATGTTTACAAATACCGTATGTATTGCTATAACCTGACTTCTGTGGTATATGTACTGAAGGTTAGGAACCTAGAGGAATGTTCAAAATGAGTGGTAGCCAAGGTCACTCACAAAGCCCCTTTAGTTAGCTGTTTTGCGGCAGGCCTCTTCTGTCCTCCCGAATGACCATCCACCTACGGACAAAACACATCTTTTATTCCCTTTTCTTGAAAACACAAGCAGGATGCAGTTACACATAAAGGTCACCATGTTTTGAGTACTTTCAACTCGCCATTGAGAGCGTATTCTAAGGATGTAGAATTTGCTCTGAAAGCCCATAGACGCGTGTGGCGGAGTGGCACTGTGTCAGATCATGAAAGCTGTGCCATAGCTCCTTGGGAGGACTCAGCCTGGACCTTAAAGCCCAAATCCCCACCTCCCTCTGCGAGTGCATCCTTGTATTTCTGAGGAAGTATATTTGTGGGTACCAACTCCATGAACATCTGGAAATTCAGTCGACATCACTGAGTTCATCTTCTCAGTGATAAAAAAGGGAGCAAACACTTTGAGCTCCTTCATAGTTAGGAGTGCAATCTAGTAGGCGTTTCTATAATGTTACGGAACCTGAGAATGAACCAGATCCTTGCCTGAGGGGGCCAGGCAGACCCGGACTACAACAAGTTTCACTAAACTATCACGGATTGCTAAGTCTGATGGAGAAGAAACAGGCCTCCGTAAGCGGAAAACACTTTCCCTCCTTTTTGGATCAGTGTTGAGTTAAAAGACCATAGGGACTACTTCATACACTCCCGGTTGTTACTACAGAAAAAGACCTCAGTATAACTAAGAGGAATAACCCACTTTGATATGATAGTGATATCATTCAATAGTAAACTACATATTTTGAGTGCCTACTCTGTGTTGGCTGCTGGGATACTATTAATTGATGAAAACGTGATAGCACTGTGAACATGTGAGAAGCAGAACAGACACATTCATCCCATAAACATCAACATAGCAAGGCCGGGACCTGGGGGAAGGTCTTCAGTGAGCACGTTTGTGGTCACACAGGCACCGGGCTGACTGTGGAGACAGTGCCGGCAGCAGTAAGCGCGCAGATGATAACACATTTCCTTTCAATGACACTGAATGTTGAAAGAAGCTTCGTAAACTGTATTCTACCTGCACAGCTGGCTGGCCAGGAGAGGATCCTACGTTTTCCTGCTGAGGTTGTGCGGTTCCTAAGGATGCGGATATAACTTTGCTTCCAGAATCCTGCCCTATTTGAATGAACACACAAGAAAGACAATGTTCAACAGAAACAGTAAAGCAGGCCCATCGTACAACCCTGGACACGGTGCGCACAGGTGACGGAACAGTCCGAAAGGGCTTCCTTATCATGGATGCTTGATGTGAGGAAGGGGAGCAGGAAGTACATTTATCGACAAAACCTCTGGAGGCAGAGGCGGGGGTTAGTAAAGCCCAGTTAGAATAATAAGTAGAAATAAATACGTATGTAAATAAATAAAAGCTGTCAATGCTCCAGTTTCAAATTACCTATGGTCTGAGGAATAGGCCTCAAGCTAGTAATCTGTCAGCATTACCAAAACGCACAACACTCACAACTGAAAGAAAGGGAGGCCCAAGTAGGGGACTGACTAGGCGCGCTCATGCTTTTGTCTTTCTAGTGCTTACTGAGCAGTGCAGGTGTTTGAAGCTTTAGGAAAAGCGGGAGGCACTGGCACAGGATTTTCAGTCTGGGTGGGATTCTAAATCTACATATAGGAAGCAGCACAAGGATAATTACAAAGCCACCTGTGCCATAGAATGCTAGATTGTGTTGTTTCTAAGCAGCACATTATTTCACGTAATTTAATTAGAAGCGCTTGTTTCTTGCTTAGTGGTGTATAAACTGATGCTACAGGTGCAACGTGAAAAGGAGAGAGAAGAAAGGAATGATCAGAGTAGAGGTGCGAGTGCGTCAGAAAGACTGTATGCAGGAGGAGGGGTGCGAGAAGTGTCCTGGGTGGCGGGAGACAGGGACGAGCTAAGGGGAGCTTGCGACGAAGGCTCCTGACCTGGCAGTGCGGTGCTCAGGAGGCCAGGAATCTGTGCTTGCCTCAGGCCATCAGGGGTCTTGGAAGCAGAAATGGGGCAAGTCTGATTCAAACATTTCTTCTGAGCCTGTCAAAACATTGCCAAGATGGAAACATTAATTTCATGAGTAAAAGCTTTAATAGATTACTTAATGCCAACCACGGCTGTTAATGCCTACCTGGCATTACCTTCAGCTTAGATTACAAACCAAACAGAAGTCCTAACACGCTCTCCTTTCACACTGGAGAATGAAGAGCACCTCAAACCTGCAGGCACACTGGCCTTTCAGGCCTGTTAGCCGGGAGCCGGACCGACAGCAGACCGCCCTCTGCTCGGGGAACCACGCTTGTGGAGCTCAGACACAAGCTGAGCCAGAACTCTTTCCATCCCCGGCAATTTTATATGCCGCCTGCCAGGATTATGACCCCGACGGTCAGTCCTGACGTGGTGTCTGCACTGGCTTCGAGCACCTGGTCAGGGCCCATGTGCCAACCCCAGATGGACTGTCTACACCCACGTTCTTCTGTGCAGAGGGTTGAAAGTACGTTTTACCTGCTTCATGTCAACATCAGGTGGCATGTAACTGGGAAATGTAAACTCAATCAAACACTGGCCTAAGCAAATACTATTAGAAACATTAATCTGATATTTAAACTGTTGTGTGCGTCTTTTCTATACATGAGGAAGATGAATTGGATGATTTTTTAAAAAACTTATTATTATTAAATATATTTTTATTGATTTTAGAGAGGAAGGGAGAAGGAGAGAGAGAAACATCAATGATGAGAGAGAATTATTGATGGGCTGCCTCCTGCACGCCCCCTATTGGGGATCGAGCCCGCAACCTGGGCATGTGCCCTTGACTAGTATCGAACCCAGGACCCACAGGCCGACGGTCCGCAGGCCGACGCTCTATCCACTGAGCCAAACCAGCTAAGGCTGGATGATGTTTGAGGACTCCAAGTTCTTTTTCACTAAAAGCATCTGTTACCTCTATAAAGCATTTAAGGTAAGACAATAAAGGGCTTTTAAACTACTTTCCACTTTTAATCCTTTATGTTATGCTACTTCATCATGCCTCAGGTTTTCAGAGTTTTTTCTTCAGTTTTCTATTTTGTATAGTGGATTTAGAGTTCAGCCTAACCATCTCCACAGGCGCCTTAAACTGTGACCCTGGCCTAAGTGCAATGTTCTCACCAACCGTTCACGTGTGGGTGCTCATATAGACCTGGCATCGCCTGACCAACTAAGCTCATGTTAGTTCTGTCCTTACAGCGTTGGAAACGGTCCCCTGGTTCATCCTGCCATTAGCAGGGCAGGGCAGACCTTACACCACTCTAGGCAGACTGACAATAAGTTCTTAGTATGAAAACCCTGGGGGAAAATTCTCCAGTTTTCATGTATTTCTCCCAGAATGTCACTCCACACCCTCCCACCCCAGGGGATCTCTTCCCCAGCGGACACGTGCTGAGGAGAGGCCTGGGGCTCGCGGTGAGTGCAGGCCTCCTCACAAACGTTTCCGGGGGGTACACTAAGGGCCACTCCCAGGAAGAAACAAAACACACAGAAGTTGGGACAGAGCAAGGCTATGCACGGGACTCTGAGATAACGAGATCAACAGAAAAATAGAGAAACCAGAATTTATATGGACGGCAGTGTGGCCAGTACACGACGTTTGGAATTCCACCAATATGCCTCGTTCACCGTTCACACGACACAGAAGAACACCATCCTGACTGCTTCAGAGAGCACACCTTTTGTTTTGAGAAAATGCTCTCCCTCTTATTTATCGGACATGACCTGGAATGACTCTTAGCTACTAAACAGTCAAATAAATCAAAATCCATGCAGACGTTAAGGAGTAAAACTATAAAGAAAAGCAAGGGGAAAAAAAGAGAAAAGCAAGAAAGAGATCTCCATGAAAGTCAGGAGAGGCACACAGAAGAGGGTGTTTCTGGGGGTGGTGGTAATATTTTATTTCTTGAGTGGCTAAATGGATGGGTATTTGCTCTATAATTATTTAACTGTACATTTATGTTTTATGCATTTTTTTCTAAATGTGTTCTATTTCACAATACAGAAGCGTAAAAAGAAAAAAAGAAAAACAATCTAATGTAATGTCAACATTGGAAATCTGCCATCATTTGAGGGTATAGGCACGGGCGTGTCTGACACCACGGCTGGGTCTGCAGAGGCGTGTCTCCTCTCAGCGCGTTTGGGCCCGTGTGTTACAGCCCCCTGATGGGCCCGTGTGTTACAGCCCCCTGGTGGGCCCGTGTGTTACAGCCCCCTGGTGGGCCCGTGTGTTACAGCCCCCTGGTGGGCCCGTGTGTTACAGCCCCCTGGTGGGCCCGTGTGTTACAGCCCCCTGGTGGGCCCGTGTGTTACAGCCCCCTGGTGGGCCCGTGTGTTACAGCCCCCTGGTGGGCCCGTGTGGGTGCTGAGCATCGGCACCTGAGTTCTCAGCCTCTGCTGCCCGTGCTCCTCGCTGCGTCCCTTCCCTTGGGACTAGGACTGTCAATGTAACTGTCACGCTGTGGGGGCAGCGGGAGGTTGGTGGGGGGGTGGGCCAGGTGGAAGCTGGTCTGGCGCCTACACTGGAATCCCCTGACTCACCAGGTCTGCATGTTTGGAAAGATCCGCTCTGTCTCCAGAAGTGCACTGGTTGCTCCCAGTCCACTCACTGCTGGGCAGGACTTTTGCTGTCTGGTTCACTGTGGGATCCCAGCACCAGAACAGGCCTGCACCACAGTGAGCACCCAGAAAACAGTTGTTAAATAACAATGAGCAAGGAGCATTCGAGAGCTTGCTCCCGGCCTATGCCATCAGATGGGCTCAAATAAACTCTTATAAAAACTCGTATCCATGCTCAGCCGGTGTGGCTCAGTGCTTGAGCGTTAACCTATAAACCAGGAGGTCACAGTTCAATTCCAGGTCAGGGCACATGCCCGGGTTGCGGGCTCAACTCCTAGTAGGGGGTGCGCAAGAGGCAGCTGATCAATGATTCTCATCATTGATGTTTCTCTCTCTCTCCCCCTCTCCCTCTCTCTCTGAAATTAATAAAAATATATTTTAAAAATCTTATAAAAATAAAAAATAAAAACAGTGAATGAGGCACACTGTCTCTGGGGTGTGCCTGTGCCTTCCCCATCCCCCCATCTTCCCCCGACACCTTACAGCTCCAGAGGTCCTCTTCTGCCTCTATAACTTATTCTCTGAGCCCGCCCTGCTGGCTCACTTTTTCTACGTCTATGACTTTCTAAATAAACTTTCTCTTATAATTGGAAAAAAAAAGAGTGAATGAATTCCACTGCAGCAGAAGTCACAGGGCCTGTCCCTCCTCCCAGTCCAGCTCTCCTCTCCCCAGGAGCCATCAACTTTCTCCTATTCCAGCGATGGCGAGCCTATGACACGCGTGTCAGAGGTGACACGTGAACTCATTTTTTTGGTTGATTTTTCTTTGTTAAATGGCATTTAAATATATAAAATAAATATCAAAAAATATAAGTCTTTGTTTTACTATGGTTGCAAATATCAAAAAATTTCTATATGTGACACGGCACCAGAGTTAAGTTAGGGTTTTTCAAAATGCTGGCACGCCGAGCTCAAAAGGTTCGCCATCACTGCCCTATTCCTATGCCCACAGATGAAAATCTTCCAGAAATAACATTTACCATTCTGTGGTTTTTACTGAACTCTGAGGGAAGACCTGCTCTTGGAATGTATTTTCTTCACAAATAGAGAAGCTACTTAAGGATATTTGGTTGTACTTGGCTCCAAGAACTCTGCTAATATCAATGTACAATTTTAACTCTTTAGACCCCATGAATTATCATGACACCATGAATCAGAATACTTAATATGTTAATTTCAATCTCTGTGGCACACTTTGAAAGAAGCCAATTACAGATTAGATGATCCAACTAAAAGTCTGGTCATCAATGCATTCCTTAGACTGACTTGGGACCAAAATGGGGAACTGTGGACAAAAAGGGTCCTGGAAAGTATCCTTGCAAGGTGATCTGATCATAAATTCCTAAGTGGGCAGGTAATGGTGGGCAGCCACCCCAGACTTAAAGCGTTTTAGTAAAAGGTTTGTCTTTGCTTTAAGTAAGCCCTGTCGTTTTTATGCATCTAGGTTTACACACATTTGATATAAGCCAGAACCACCCTCAAGAGAGCACACAATCTTGCTAACGATCCAGGCCCCGCCTTGCTTTCTCCCATCCTCATGTAATCTTTCTTATATTCCCCCTTAATCTCAGATGCATAAAAAAGCTGCAAAACTGTCATTTTTGGGGAGCATCTGAGATCTTGCTCCTGGCATATGTCCTCAGTTTGACTCAAACTCTTGTAAAAATTAAAAACAAATAAATAACAAATTAGCAAGATGTTATTTACCCAACAACAGGCATTTGCTGAATGAGAGAAACCATTTGGGATCTGCCCAACCACACTCTCACCTGGGAAATGCCCCACTGCCATGGAGCTGTGTCAGAGCCAGCGGTTAGAGGACACACACAGACAAGTTACCTGCCAGAGGGGCGAAGAGCTAAAATCCAGGGAAGGAGCACCTTTTCTTCCATCTAAAAGTGCCAAGCCTGCCAGGGGAGCAGAGGGGCATCTTTTTGATGTTGGCACCTGGTACAGAGCAGCAGAGACCCTGCATGCCACCTACTCACGTCACCCACAGCCCTATCCTCTGCCCACGAGGGGCCAATCAGACTCTCTCCTGGGAGTTTAGAGTGGGTGGGGGGAGGGGGGAGGAGAGGTAAATGCCCAAGCGCAGTGGTTCTTTTGTGCAAGTTTATAGACTGATTGTATCAAGATCACCTGGGGCGCTTCTGAAAGACAAAGTTTCTGGGTTCTGATCACCAAGATCGATTCAGAAGTCCAATGTGGGGCTTAGGCTTTTAGGCGTTTAAAAGGCTCTCCAGGTGATGTGAATGCTTTGCTGAGTTCTGAAGCCACTGCGCTTGTAGTCTCTGTTACATGCTGGGTAGTAACGTAAAGCTGGCCTGGTGGCCATGTCGGTCCAGCTGAAGAGTGGGAGAGAGCAGGGACGGACAGATAAGCGGCCACACTAT